TGTATGATTGTGAGAATCAGCGCATTTGACAACGACACACACGATGTCATAAACTGCTTTGCAGGTTTTCATGCATTTTACTGGGACTTTACATATATAGAATACAAGGGTAATTACAATAAGACAAGCAGTCTTCTTCGCTGTTATGATAATCCAACGATAAACCGTTTTTTATGACTTTTTGTCGTTTTCTATACACTAATAAGTGTAAACGAATTTTTTAATTTCTTTAAATCGAAATTCATAAGCTCTCATCAGAGTACATGGAAATTAAAGTCTGTAGAATTGTATTCCTAACACGGTACATTAAAAGGCCGTACAATACAATTATTTGTGACATGGCCACTATGCATTGAAACACTATGCATTGAAACATTATGCATACATATACAAAAAAGAAGCCATCAATCCAATTCGAGAAATTAACCATTGGGTTCTAATATTATCTGTTCCTTAAAATATTTATACAGAAATACATGTATAACGACGAACTTACGTCTGGGTCGTGGTGGGTTCGTCCCCTAAGTTTTGTGTTGTGCTTTAAGTTAATCAGCTTTGTATGCTTGTAGTGCTGTGGTATAAGGTGTACAGATTAATGAAACAAAGTATAGCAAAGATTTCAAGGCTAGATGTGAATTAGATTCGCACGGGAAGGTTTCGTACAAAATCAGAAAGAAAAGTTTAGGTTTTTTTCGGTTACGGTGAAGCGAGTGAGAGTTTTTTATTTGTAATCTATAAACTAACATCTTCTGCTTAACGTATACTATAATGCATGCCATCGTGGTGAAAGGATGCCAGCCGATTGTTGCCTAGGATACGTCGGACTTACAGGAAAATAATGGTACGTCGTGCGGGAAGGCTTCTTTCGTGCACACCGCTTTATAACAACTTTAAACATAGATAGAACTGCCTCCGTAGCCGAAAGGTTACCACGCCGGATCCCCACGCAGAGGTCCCAGGTTCGATTCTCGGGTCGGGAGAAATATTTGAAAGGTCTACATTTATTTCTCTCGTGAGTTTGGGTGTAATTTGTAGTGTAGTGTCTACATGTGTGTCCATGGCACCCGCGACATAGTGTTTCCCTAGTGAGTGTGTGCGTTATTATTGTTACTATTAAAAAATGGTTGGATATATTTTTTTACTTACCGATGCCGTTATAAGTATTGAAATAGAACTTATTAAAAAGAGATTCATCCAAAATAAACCCATCCTTATTGAACTTGGTGTTACAACTAATGAAATTCAGAAACGTTAAGAATGTTAAATTAAACAACGCTTGTACTGCTAATCTGGAAAACTGTGACAACCATTAATACGACATTTGGTTTAATTGCCTCATTAGAAATAACAAGACTGAGTTTATTACCTATATTCAGATACGTTATTAAGGAATGTTTTACTATTCTGAGGAGATTTTCTTTGTAGAAAAGTTATTTATCACCCGTCTCGATGCCCGCGACTTTGACCATGTAGAATAAGTAAAGAAGTTAAGTAAGAAAGCTAAGCCACTGGAAAATAGCTTACAGGGGGCGTACTATGAGCTCTTAGAGCAATTCTATTTAGGTCTGTAAGTTGGATTGCCTGTCAAATTCATAAACCTCACAAAAACAATTCACTGTCCATGCAGTTTACGTTCCCCATTCGAAATCCGTTCACCTTTTCTCTCATAGCAAAATCGTATATATATAACGTGCCATTTGCCATGCAAATGGCGGTCTCATCTGTAAAAATAAGCAATTCAAAAAAGTTACTCCGTGACAAACTTTTATTAGATTAAGTCACATGTTTAAGAAATTTCGTTTAAGTTTTATTATATTTTCAGTTTCATAATTATTTGTTATCTATAAAGGCTTTAATAGCCAATTTTATTTGTAAGTCAATGGCCAATTGTCAATAAATAAATACTATTAACTATTACGCGTTTTTTGGAAATTTTAGTTCGAGATCGCAATCTTTAAAGTAGTGTTGATAAATTATTGGCATGAAAGTTATTGCAATTTTTAAATGGAATTTTAATCATTTTGATAATTTTATTACCCGGAAATCGTAAAATAACTTTTAAATAATGCCAAATTTGACTTCAATGCTATCAATGAAAATGTACGAATACTAGATACGTTCCAATTATGTTATCAAATTACAAACTCACTCAATTCAAAAAACTCATTCAATGATAATGACTAGAGACATGGCATGTAATTTTGTCGTACGACAAATTGTAAAGTATGATTGCAAAGTTGTTCGATATTACAAAACAACGTAGTAAGTATAATCAACAATAAAATTAATAAAAAAATGTAACTTTTCTCATTTTGAACACAATCGGTTAATAGTGCTTGAACGCTCCCAGGATAGTATATCTGTCTATTTCTTTCATGTGATTTAGTATGTAGTTCCATCTCGCTCTTGTTAGATATCAGCTAGCCAGCCAGAGACAATAATTAACGTTTCAAAAGTAAAACTCATCATCCTGTCATGCCATTCCCGTTCAACTTTGTGTAAGGTCATGATACGAAATTAAGCAATTCAGTTTCACCACGTCAAGTGAATTGCATGAAACTTGGCTGGCCGCATATATCCTCATACTAGTAGTATCCCCTGTACTAGTTACTTGAGAAATGATTGGTTCTCCATACAAACTTTCATTTATTTCTATTATTCTATATTTCATTTTATTTCCCCATTGAGATTTATTTTTGTGACAAGAAATAGCCTCCTCCTAGGTCCCATCTAATTCTATTTCCAAATTTGGTTCGGCGGTTAGGGCGTGAAAATGATGCATATAGTTACTTTCGCATTTATAATATTTGTTTGTATTAAAAGAAATCCAAAGTATAATACGTATGATAAGATACGACAATCCATGTATCATCTGAGTGACTTTAGAGTGGGACCCGTGCTCGGCAAAGGGGCTTAATAAGGGGAACACTTTTCATACAAAATTAACAAAATTCTATTAAATTTGACCAACTTCTGCTGTTCCGATTTCTTTCGTCCCATATAGAAAGAAAGAAAGACACCACAAAAGAAAAAAGAAAACGGACAAAAACATAATCAAAACATTCAACGTAAAACATAAATAAATAATTACGAATCAAAATAAAACGTGCTTACATAAGAAAAATTAATTAAATTAAAACACGAACTATTCACACAAATAATAAAAATAACACTAGACATAGAAATACTTTATGCGGTGCCAGCCGCGGTAACAAAACGGTCACAAACTCAGTATTTGCTTGAAAACGTAATCCGTTCCGAGCACTGATTTTCAGTTAGTCAAACAATGACATGATCCTTTCATGAAACTGAGTCGATCAGAAGTAAAAAAAAATTGATCAATTTTATTAATTTTTACAGACAACTTTCGCTTGACTAAAATATTGACTATGCCAAAATTGTTGACACCAAAAAAACTTAATGGTTTCTAAGACAGTTTCCTTGTATCTTCTATGGTTTCGGATTTCCCCATACCCCATTTGAAAAAACACTGTCGCCTTCCTTTCTCAAACTCGTATCTCAAAAGCACAAAGCAACTCAAGTGCAAAAAACGCTTTGTTTATACAAATTTTCACGCTGATTTCACATCACATTTCCTTCGTATTCACACACTGGCTTCTACCTATTCTTAAAGTAATGCATCCAAATCAACCCTCTTGATAATAAATTTAAAATAAATAGAAATATTTGCCATCTCCTGAATAATAATCACTCTTCATAAGACACGTGTTTGCGAAAGTAAGGCATTATATTTCGGAGGGAACGAGGATTGCTTTACCCGTAACTTCAGTTCACTGTAACTTACGCTCGTCCAGCAATTCCTTACTTCCTTATAGCATACGTACATGGCCTAACTTGGTCGCTATTTTATAAAAAAGACTACCCATGTTACAAAACGTATGAGTTTATGCATTTTGCGGTATCATAATTTTAATGTTCACGTAGCGAACGAAAGACTACTGTTGTGGACTTGTTTCAAAACCTTTTTTCAGATAATATTTTGTTGTCATACCAACACAAAGCAATACATGTGAACCAAATTCGGCTTTTCACAAAAACCGAAATTTGTCATAAAATTAACGTGGTAAGTGATTGTAATTTGCGACATTGCGAGCGCATCTGTATCAAAAATAAGTGCGCATTTGACCTTCATCTCACCAAATAGAAAGTGACGGTGAGGCCGACGATGTAGCATGCACACCTAAATAAAACCTATTCACTCTCGCCTTGAAAAGGTCCAAGTTATGGCTTTCGGGGAACAAGTTCGCAGGCAGGGAATTCCACTCTCTAGCCGTTCGCCATATAAATGTGGGAGCAAAACGCTTCGTGCAAATCCTGGGAATATCCACAACATAGTGGTGGAATCCCAGTCCACATCTAGTCCCTGATGAGGGAAAGAGGTAGGTTTGGGGAATTTATCGCTCCCCTAACGAATAATAAAACGGCCTCGTGAACTTCATTAATTACATTATTTCGTAGTTTTACAAAATAACTGACTCGTCCAAAGAGACTGCCACAGCCAGCCAGTAATAATAGGCGGTGTCTAAAGCCGCCACAAAGGAATTATTTTTCTTATGATACCAAGGAACATGATGAACAAGTCGAGCGCCTGCATTGCGGTTGGAGTGCTACTTTGAGCTTTAAATTTACCCTTCAAAACGCAGTAATTTCCACCGCACCTATTTCTACTTGACGACAGAAATAGGTAAAGTAACAGCAGTCCTCCCCTGGAGGAACTCTTTCACAAGGAGCTCTAGCGCTACTAAGGTTCTAGCACTGAAATTAATTCTATATTCACTGATCGTTAGTACCCGTTTAGCACATTCTTACATCTCGCTACACTTCTGTTTTAGAATTTTATCTATAAAGAAAATGTCACCGGAGTAACACGTACGTTAATCATGTAATTGAATATCTTAACTCCAGTCTTGTTCTTTCTAATGAGGCAATTAGTCCACAGTGTTGTATATATGTTTGTCACAGTTTTCTAGATTAGCCGGACAAGAGTTGTTTAATTTAACAATCTTAATATTTTCGAATTTTTTTAGTTATTACAATTTTACGTCAAACAGTGATGGATTTATTTTGGTTTTATTTATTTTTAATAATTAAAATAGCAATAATGATACCAGTGTCTGTAAGTAAATAAAATGTTGGTATAGTTCGTAAATACTTTTATCTATACTTAAAATGTTACACAGAAGCTCAGATTGCGCTCCAAAAATTCGTCATTCGTCATCAACCCATTTATACATCGCACTGCAGAGTACTGGTCTCCTCTCAGGCGAGGGTATTATAGGTCATAGTCCGCCACTCTGACCCAATACGGATTGGGGGCTTCACACGTTTTCCAAGGGTTGTGAACCTTCTTCGATGTACATATGTGTTCCTTCACCGTAAAGCTCATGGTAAATTACAAATTAAATTTCGCATACAAATTCCGAAATACTCAGAGGTGCAAGTCCTAATTCTAGTTACGGCCATAGCCTAATGACCGTAATTGGAATTAGGGCTTGCACTACGGCTTGTTTAGTAGAATAGCCAGGGCTCCGCCACACGCTCAAGGTTACGCGATAAGTACCTACCGCTGAGTGTGCCGATGTCGGTACAAGCGCTCATACAGTCAAGGACACGTCAAGCTTAACACTTTATACTTTGGACCGTTGTTATCGTAAGCGGCATAGAATCGGATTTAAATCTTAAGTGTCAAGGTTGACGTGACCTTGTACAAATCTTTCTTTAATGAGCATTCGACTCCGCACAACTGCACACGATGGGCAACGTTATTTTCACGTCTCTGTGCACGTGCTTAGGTTTTTTTACCCTTGTAGTGAGCACCTGGTTTCATTAGCCAGATTTAGTATTATAGCGCAGGTATTTTCGATTTTGTATGTGAGTAATGTATCTATTATGTATTAACTGTTAAAATATGCGATATAGCAGTATAGCATGTATATAAATCTGTAAGAAACGCTTTAATACTTAAAATTACGAATATTCAGGGTTTTCCGAGAGTGGTATTTTATTTTATATATATATATATATATATATACTAGTTTTATGAAGTTTAGGTAAATTTACTCTAACAACCATTACAAAAAAAGTTTTTTCAATTTTCATTTAATCAACTTTTTTTCGACGTTTTAAGTTGTCAAGATATTTTTTTTTTTCATAATATCAAATGACGGGATGCGCGCCTGATGGTAAGCAACACGTCTGTCCATGACAATTGCAGTGCTACTCAGAGCTTTGAATCGCAAAGTTGTGAAGGGCACTGTCACTGCACATGTCACCCTGAGACATAAGTTGACAAGTCCCATGTGCCTGTAATTTCACCAGCACTCTTACCATTCAAAACTGGAACGCAGTAATGCTGACATTACTGCTTGGCGGCAGAAATAGGCAAGGTGGCAGTAAGTACTGCCCTGGACGAACTGTTTACTTATACATTGATACAAACTTATGTTTTAACATTTTTTCAGTGTTTAGAAAAGGACAAACTATCTACAAAAGGTGTAAATAGCCAGTATTATCCTAACAGCGAAGAAGACTGCGCCGCTTGTGGTTGCTACTACCCTTTTTATCCCAGTGATATGTGCCGAGTCGTAGAAAAATGCACGAAAGCCTGCGAAGCAGTTTACGACATCTTGTGCATAGATCCCCGAATTCAGAAAGCTATTAGGTGCTGGTTCTCAAAAACGTGTCAAACCAATTGTTACGCCACATTTATCTACACTACTAAGAGTAAAAAACTCAGTTATTCAAATCACAAGAACATTAATTATGGGGGTGACATTGATGACGACTACACAGAGAGTGGAAGTAATGTTAATTATAACTACAATTATGCCGGTGGGGGTAATGTTAATATCAACAACAATAATAACTATGGCGGTGGAATTAACGTTAATAATAATTACAACGTTGGCGGTGGGACTAACAATAATAATAACAACAACGGTGGTAGTAACTATAACTATAATTACAACAATGGCGGTGGGACTAACAATAATGATAACAACAACGGTGGTAGTAGCTATAACTATAATTACAACAGTGGCGGTGGAAGTAACAATAATAATGACAATGGTAGTAGGGGTAGCTATAATATTAATTACAACATTGGCGGTGGAGATAACATTAATAACAACAATGACCGTGCTGTCTATAATTATAACTACAAAGTTGGCGGTGGGCATCCCTATAACAAGAGGTACAGTCACCGTAACTATAATTACAATCGGCTTAGTAAAAAACGTAAGAATCACAAAAAAAATAAACTACTACTGTAATAGAAAATAGAAACCGAGGTGGATATATATCCACCTCTATATAACACAGTATATACTGTGTTTTAAGTATAAAATAAATTAAAAAATTTAATTAATTATTATTATTATTAATATTAATTATATAAATTAATATTTAAAAAAAAATTATTAATACAGTGAATAGCGACATCTCTCGCCAGGTCTGGTAACGGTAAAGGTACTAACTGGGTGATAAATCTGCAATAGATTTCTCATAGATGGCGCTACGACTAAAAAGTCGTTAAAAGACCAAGTACAAAGACACGACGCAAGCACATAGAAAAATTCGTGAGGTCCGTTGGTTCGTTCCGTAGCTTAGTTGGTATAGCGTCTGGCACGGTATGCAAGAAGACGACGATTCGAATCCGACCGGATCGAAGGATTTTTTTCTGAGTGTTCGATCTTTGTATTAATAATTATAAAATAAATCCAAATTTAGTGTTACATAATCTCAGTACAGACTACTAAAAAAACCCGACCGCAAAAGTTCATGGAATTACATCTATTTGCCAAGTTTTATTGAAATAGGTTACGGGAAAGTGGGCGAAACCGGCTACATCCCCTAGTGCGCCACTATACATACGCTCCTGTATTACAGAAGATAATAGAAATCGATGCTCTTTAAAATAATTGCTCCTTATAAAATTGAGACGCTATTAATAAAAATAAGTCTTCATGCGTGAACAGCCACCCTTAGAGGTGGAATATTTACTTCAAAATTAAATGGGGCCACTACTGAGGTACTCTCTCTTTCCAACAAAAAAAAATCTTCAAAAACGGTTCACAATCGTGTAACATACATACTAAAAAAACGACTGTATGCATTGACTTACAAATAAATGGACGACGGGTCTAATACAAAAACCACGAAAAAAATGTCCCAAGTCAACCTATTCGAAATTTAAATTATAATGTCATCGCAGTATCGCGCTGTCAGTAGAACAAATGAAGACTAAAGCGGAGTGTCGCGCTCTCTATACGATTTTAGCGCCTTACAAGTGCGGACACTTTTTAGCTCGGACCCGACGTCCATATAATTGTAAGTCAATGACTGTATGTTACTAATTGAGAACCTCCTTCTTTTTTTGAAAATTATGAAAATACTTCGCAGTTGAACTAACAAATCGTATTTTTAATACAGAAACGAATCAAAATTTTTAAAAATATATTATAACAATCTTCATGATATGTTGTCTGATGTATAGATTTAAATCGCAGAGATCTGAAGGACACTGCCACTGCGCCCGTCACCCTGATACATAAGTTGACAAGTCCCATGTGCCTGTAATTTTACCAGCACCCTTACCCTTCAAAACCGGAACACAGTAATGCTGACATTATTACTTGGCGGCAGAAATAGGTAAGGTGGCAATACTTCCTTGGGCTAATTCTTTCACAAGGAGCTCTACTGCATTTAAAAATTCTATGAAATAACAAATCAGAAATTATATAATAATTGATAATTGGTAGTCGGTTTCTTGAGATGCATATAGCGAAATACCTCGTACTATCGGTAATATAAGAATATTTAATATTACGGTAAACGCAGCTACTGTCATGAACGGGTTATTTTATATACACAAGGATTGACTCGAAGAGATCGCCATTACGGGTATAGCTAAGGGAGTTCATTTTGTGGATAGTTGTATTTTATTGTATGTGTTCATGTCATCGAGTATTTATCCAGAAATAGAAACGAAATGTCGTTATTTGTTTGAAAACTATTCTGCCAAATCATTACGGTGACAACTGCGCTCCGATTGACCAGCCAGAATTCGAAACAATTGGCGGGTGTTGTCAATTGTTTCACTTCGAACGACCAGTTTAACTTGAGCTCTGCTATAATGAGCGAAATTTGAAAAATTACATATTTAATATTTAATTACCGATAAAACGTGATTAAGTTTGTTTTGGAATTAGTTGTTTTGCTGTTTTTCCCACACCACCGAATGGAACAGCCCTCATTGTTAGTGGGATATACGGAGACGTACACACAGGTCAGTTGTTGGCGCTGTACTATTTCAGTTTTCTAATTTGTGATTTCAGCGCAAACAAGAGTTGATATTTAAAAGTGATACAAGACCCATATACGTGATGAATTGCCATGGATTGATGGCCCTTATTTCATCTCCGTTTCTGGTTATATACTCGATGGTTTGTATTAATCCAACTGACGCGCCGAAACTCATAGCGAAACTAAAACCCCGCCACCCAAAATATTTTAATGAATCAGCACGAGAAAGGCATTGCTACAGATGTAAAAAGTGCGAGATAGTAGTAACTACAAGAAAAACTTAAAAGTTGATTATTGTTTTTATTATGTTTTGTGAAAAGTCATTTAACAAAAGCTCTTGTTTGTGATGTGTGTAATATAGTCCTTATTACCGAACATGGCGGTAATGAGAAAAAAAGGCTCAAAAGTTTTATTTGGGGTATTATAGTCAATGCATACAATCATAATATTTACATGCAAGTGTGATGAAAAACATTGTATGTTCACGGGCGGGACGGAAATTACGAACCTCGTCTCCGAAAGCTTTCTTTCAAGGGGATTGTTCGTAGTTCCGTGAGTTTGGGTGAATTTGTGGTTGTGTGAGACTACGAGTGTGTGCTTTATTATTATTAGTGTATTATTAGTGGCAGTGCAAAGTATGTTTACACATAATTTAAAACAAAAATTGCGTAAAGGTTGTGTTAGAAGAAATAAAATCAGATTGTACAAATAATTGACACACTCCAGCGAATTTTGAAGAATGAATATTATTAAAACTGAACGGTAGTTTTTTAAAAAAAAGAATACTAACTAATGAACATCAATGGAAGCTTACCTTACTTAGAAAAATATCCCAGCATATAGTCGGGAATCTTAAAAACTCTTACACATAGGTACATACACCAACAGAATTTAATTTAAAAATAAGGAGATTGTTATGAGAAGTTCGAATGTAACAAGTCACCATCACAGAAATATTGACCGTAAACAGCGAGTTATTGTCACAGCGAAAACAGTACTATGTTTGAACTATCTGAAATAAAAACTCTTCACTAAATAATGAACAGCACTGCTTTAGGTGAATCATTTACAAGAAAATGTAATAAGAAAGAAATAAATTCTTAATTCGCGTCAAAACGCAATAATGACTTCTACTATATCTTTCTCTTTTTTTTCATCACAACCTCTTTCTGCTGATGCCGAATTACTGATTATTACTCAGGTTAATAATGACGGACCTCATCAAGGCGCGTTAAATCCGTTCGTTTTAGAGTCAGTTCAATTACCTAAAATGGTACACTTAAATTATGCTTTGTATCAATGTTACATTAATGTAATTAAACATTTATATTTAATTTAATAATCATAAAAAACACAACTTATAATAGAATTAAGTATTCATAAAAGTGAGTGCATGAATATGATAGTTGTTAGACATCTTTTTACATATCATATAGTTAATATTGTTTAATATTTTTGGTATATGCTTTAAATATGCATTAATAACAATGCTAATTGGATATAGTTAAGCAAAAAGGATCCAATCCCCAAAATTATCATAAAATTAGTCAAAAACTATAGTCGCATGTGTAATAATAATATATAATGGTGGTGTTTTATATCGTCGTTAAGTCTTGTTTTATTTAATTTTTATAAATTTTTAGTTTTTGTTTGACATAATAATTTTTTGTAACAAGAAACGAAAGTAAGCTTCATATTATTGCAATATTTTTGAGAACTAAGTCAACATCTCGATTTCGTCTTCGTTCAGCTATTGACCGCAAGGTGGCAGCACATTGATTGAAATTTCAACACGAAATCAAAACGTCGTAACTTGCAATAATTTGAACTTTGAACTATCAAAGTTTAAATTATATACGTGTATTTCTTTTTAAATTAGAAACTACGACTATAGTGCTTCAAATTATGAACGTGAGGTTGGCGACAGCGGCGGTTCTGATAGTACTCAAGACTTAAGGACTTCCATTTTTTTTTTTCAGTGGTAATGGAACTAAGTTTATACCAAAAGAAATAAGTAACTAAAATGGCAAATTACAATTACCTATGTACGCCAGTAATTTCTGTATGTAAAGAAGTGATGACCAAAACGAAATGAGATAATGATGTACGATTAGTACGCGTTTCGTTCCCCGGTTCTAAATATTGAATCCCTGGTCCCGGCCGCTTTTGCCATTGCCAGGGAGCATGCTTCTCCTATCTGAAATTTCGAAATTATTAGTAATTACCTATATGATATCAAGTGATAGGACTGGACCAGTATATAACCAGAAATACAGAAGAAATATGGGCCATATATTCCTGGTAACTCATCAGTGATACATCACATATAAATTAATATCAACTCTCGTTTGCACTGAAATTAAAAATTAGAAAGCTGACATAGTACAGCGCCAACTACTGACCTGTGTGTACGTCCCCGTGTATTCCAAAAATATTCTGTATTTATTGTAATAAAGATAATATCTCTAACAATGGCGTGCTGTTCCATTCGGTGGTGTGGGAAAAAACAGCAAAACATCTAATTACAAAACAAACGGAATCGAATTTCATTGGTAATTAAATATTAAATATGTAATTTTGCAATTTTCGTCCATTATAGCAAAGCTCAAGTTAAACTGGGCGTTTTGAAGTGAAACAATTGACGACACCCGTCAATTGTTTCGAATTCAGGCTGGCCAATTGGAGCGCAGTTGTCATAATGATTTGGCAGAATAGTTTTTAACCAAATTAAATGACATTTCGTCTCTATTTCTGGTTATATACTCGATAAATTGGACGTCGCACACCTGCAGGCTTAGCGTGAGGGAAAATAGACAAAACTTAAGCGCATAGAGATATCTCTCTCTTCTCTACCGATCATGTCTCTCCTCCGAGCACGACGTCAGGAAGAGAAAATCTCTACCGTAGATAAAGTTTTCTCTACATAGCGATAAATAAATTGCCGCGACTGAAATTGCCTTTCATTTTCATAGCGGTCACACTAAACCGGTAATCGGTTTTAAAGGCACAGCTCTATTCCCCTTATTCATTTTCACCGTGACGTATTTTTTTCAATGAAAATAAAAAGTAACACTAATTTTGGTATATAACTATCTCAGTTACGCAAATCATATCGATATTTTTGTTGAGTCGAAAGTGCATTTTGACGGAAAAGAAAATAACAAAAAAACTGTTGTGTTTCGTTTACTGTTTATCTGTTGTTTTTTCAAATGTTCCCAAAGTTTATCACCGAAATTTACGGGTCAAATTCTGGATAGATACGCGTTTATACGCGTGTCTTCCTTTCTTTCACTTACTTTGAACCTCACAGATGTACATGTGGACGTTTGAGGATCTCTAGTTCCTAGCACAAATAATCTATTAATTCACAGGATATCTTGATATTACGGTCTCAAAGAAATGAAACGGTTCGCAAAATTCGAGTAAAGCAAGTAAGAACGACGGGTTCTTTATCTTTTTCGTGCCAATTTTTCCTCGTGAAAATTTAATAAATAATTACGATTGGCACGAGATATTTTTATGGCATAAAACTACTATTAAATTGAAAATATG